GGAAATTATATATATTTAAAGAGTTCAGGCTGAAACCATGTGTGGAGGTGGGAATTGGGGCAAGGTACAAATATACAGTGGGGCCTTGACTTACGAGTGTCCTGACTAACGAGTTTTTTGATACTAGCTGTCTCTTGGCCGATTTTTTGCATTGAGCTGATAGAGTAATTTGAGTTAACGAGCTCCTTAATGTCAACGCCCCACTGTACTGATAACCGGCTGACAGCTACTCCTGTAGCTCACTGCCATGTGCATTAAGTATGAAGCTGCTTGGTTCACAGAGCAGAGCACTCATTTGTCTGTAGAAGTTTCAGAGTAGGGAAGTGATTCCTGGAACCACGTCTTGTTCCTGCAGGTCATCCCCGGGAAAGCTGATGGACTGCTTACTGCCTCTCTGCTGACTTCTGGGCTTCTCCCAGTCTCAGCCTCGCCTTCCCAGCTGTGACTCTGACTCTGTGCTAAGTCTTCCTTTCCAATGCTTTAGTATTACTCCACAATCACAGAGAGGACCTACGGGAGGTGGTATCTCACAAGGCCGGGCTCAATGAAAGATTTTGGTGAGAATAAGAAAAAGGCAACAGAGCCATATACTCAGTAAGTCTGGTGGGAGAAGAATTAGATTATTTTCTTTTTAAAGCCACTAAGTCTTCTAAGACACCTTTTGGTCCCACCTCCCTCGAGTGTGTTGGTTGATATTTCAGCCCTGGCTTTCCAAGAAACTGGACCGTTATCTCCAGCAGTTCTTACCTCTTTGCATCCTCTGATAGAATATTCTTTGAATGAACGTATATCGTCAATGAGTAGGTTCATGAGGCGTAGTTTGTCAGCAAACCCTACTACAATGAAGTGACCAGACGGGTGAAGGCTGATTGTATAGGCCTCTTCCTGGTATTCCTTGTAGAGTTCCAGAGTGCTGTGAGGAAGGTCAATTACTGCCTTATCAGTCTAGCCTGCTAAATCCCTCGAGCCCTCCCCTGGTATGTATTTTTATCACAGCATTTGAGACACTTTGTTGCTTGCAATGATTGCTTTCCCTCTTTTCTAGAGTTTGGTTATTTGAAGATAGGAGCAATGAGTATGGCAAGTAGGGAGACTGGTCAGGGGGTTATCTAGTGATGCTGAATGTGCAGCTCCATTTAGATTTCCCAAATCAGAAGGATTTCACATTTTATCTTTCAGCAGCCCCAGCAACTGCGCTCAAGAACAAAGAAATTATAGTGTGGGGCCAATCTAGGTCACAGATTCTCGGGGAAGCTATGCCAGGAGGCAAAAAATATCACTAGGGAGTTGAAGGGGGTTTCAGGTAATGAGGATAGAAAAAAGGATAAATAACAGTCTGGCGAGCTCTCTGACGTCAAAAGCAGATCTAGTGGGAGTAAGGGGGTAGGAGAGCTGGAAGGACATAGGAGGTCATGGTATAAGGTGAGATACCAGAGTCCCTAGAGCCTAGCACAGTGTCTGGCATGGAGCAAGCATTTAATAAAGCACAAAGTAATTTTCTAGCTCATGCTCGAGAGTGAAAAGAGAAGGCAGTTGACTGACTTGACTTAAAAAAAATTTTTTTTCCCAACTGAAAGCTTCTAAGTAATTAAAATTTAAAACTCTCTAAAATAACTCACATGAAAAATTTAACAACCCAAATCCTGCATAGTAAAGTAACAGAGCCTTTGCATTCCTTACTTTGACTCATAATTCCAGATGCGTATGGATCGGTCCAGAGAACAGGTGGCAATGAGGGGTTTGCGGATGCAAGTAGCCAGACCGGTGATGGATGCTGAGTGTAATGGGTACATCAGGTACTCAAAGTGGGCAGGCTCCCCCTGGGGAAATCATAGAGAATGAGATCTGGCAAAGTGAGCAAAAACTGGCTGTGCATTTCAGCTTCATACGATCTAAGGACATTAGCAGGCTGGGAACCAATCATGTTAATATTATGCATATTTTCCTAAGCCTATATTATTTTAAAACATTATTCCAATGGCAATAAAATATTTTATTCCAAGAATATACCAGAATTTTAAATTCAGCCATTCCTCTACGGTGTGGACATTTAAAGGGCCTCCAATTTTCGTTCCTTGGGAATAACTAGACTAATTTCCTTGCAGGTAAGTCTGTGGACCTCTGATTATTTCCTCTGATGCTGCCGGCATTAAGCTTCATTATTGTAACCAAGTGCCTGACAGTCAGCTTTGATTGTTGAGGCATCTGTTTGAAAACATTCTCTTGAAGAAACATATTGCCAGCTCTATAAGCCCAGCAAAACAGCCAGATAAGGAACCAAGCTGCCCCTTCTTTCAGAAAACCCTGGATAACCGAGATAACTGATGGCTTCAAGGATACCGCTTCTCTCCTCCATGCTCTAATTCCCACTCTTAGACTGTCAATTAGGCACTAAAGAATGAACCTGAACAACCCTAGACACCCCACCCTTGTGCCCTACCAAAGGCAGAGAGCCCCAGGTCTGTGTTCTCTCTCCACCTGTGATCTCTGTGAGGCCCCTGGGCACATGCTGTGTACCCACCAAGACCTGCTCCTCCAAGTTCCCTGATGGTTTTTGTTGGAGTGCATCCTACTATCATAAGAACCACAAAGGCCAGTCCAGCTACAACACTGGCCCCTGTGGGGCAAACATGTGGGCCTGGGCCAGTGCTTGGGGCCTTCCTAGCTGATAGCACGACTATCAGTAGGCTGGGACTGACACAACGGACACAGTCCTAGAATGGAATGCAGAGAAACATGGTAGGGATGATTTTAAGAATCTTGATAAGTACTGCCAAATTTCTCCCCAGGGAGGCCAGTTGCTCTACCTCCAGCAGCAATGAGACTTGGGTGAATGACTTTAAATTAAAAGGTATCCTATTACACTGCTTGTATAGGTTCCAGATGTCTGCCATCAGAGGCATTTTACCTGGGACACCTGCATGAGGAGTGATGATTGGGAAATATAATGAGGTGTACATATTTTGGGTCTGTTCACAGGACAAAGCAAAAGCTGAGATGCGAATTCCTTCACATTCTGCATCATCCATCCTTTTCTATTGCCTCAGAGAAAGAGGTACTGTGCTGGGGGGGGCAGGCACCCATTCTTCTCCATCTGTTACCCCTTCTTTCTCTAGTACCTTCAAACGTTTGCCTCTGTTAGCTTTGTTCTCTGAAGGATGAGCAAGAACTAATATGGGGAAGAGAGGAGGGAAGAGTGTTCCAGGCAGACAGGACAGTGTTTGCACAAGCCTCTTGGCAGGAAGGAACCTGCAGATTCATGGTGATGGGAAAGGTCAGCCTTATTAGGTGGAATGATGGGCTGGGCTGGGGCAGCCAAGTTTGATCTCCTCAAGAGCACAGGGAGGCCACTGAGGGGTCACAGCTGTGATGACAGTGGTGGTGGTGAAGGAGGTTGTATCTTGCAATGACCAGGTATGGGTTTTGAAAAGACCACTTTAGCATCAAAATGGAGTATCACTCAGGGGCAGGAAGGTAGAGCGTATGCAGAGGCACAGGCAGAAGACTTTTACAGTCGAGGAGAGAGAATGGGAATGCTCCCCTCCATAGAAGAGCCAACTTCTCTGGCCTAGTTCTTTCCTCCCCATGCAGACTTCCTTCTCAGAGGCCCTGCCACCTGGAGGGAGAGAGGATCTGCAATGAGCTCACCCCTCCAGACAGAGAAAGTGAACAAATTGGAGATCCGGCCATCAAATCAGTTCTTTTTGAGTGAATCAGTTCCCCCAGGTGAAATGATAAAAATAGTTTCTAAATCTGCAGGTTAAAAACAGCGCTGGATTCATGGTACCACGAGTGTAGGCGGCCAGAAAGACCCCACCTGAGAGCACTGGCAGACAGCATTATCTCCTTTACCTACTTCTTATGAAAACACCTGTGTCCATTGATGGACGGACGAATAAAGAAGAGGTGGCATATACATACAACAGACTACTACTCAGCTATAAAAAAGGTGAAATCCTGGCATTTGCCACAACACGGATGGACCTGGAGGGTATCGCGCTAAGTAAAATAAGTCAGGTGGGTGCCCTCATGGGAAAAGACAAATACCATATGAACTTCACTTGTATGTGGAATATCAAAAACCAACTAACAAGCAAAAAAGCAAAAACCAGCTCATAGAGGCAGATGACAGATTGGTGGTTGGGGTGAAGAGGGGCAGGAGGGCAGAATGGGGAAAAGGGTTCAATTGTATGGTGATGGATGGAAACTAGACTTTTGGTGGTAAGCATGATGTAGTATGTACAAATGTCAAATTATAATGTTAGACACCTGAAATTTATATATGTTACCTCAAAAAAGAAAGAAAGAAAGAAAGAAAATAAATAAAAGAAAAAGAGGCTATGTCTTACAATCTCCAGCTGAAAATATGTGGAAAGTGATGCCCAGAAAGGTTTAATCCAAAGAAATTTATCCAAAGTCACATGATAACTTTTAAGTAGTAGTTCCCAAACTTTCAAAAATTCATTTGATGTGTGATACTTTCAAAATGCTCTACTGGATAGCACCTTTAAAAAAGCTGAGATATACCTGACATATAACATTGCATTCTTTTGGGATATACAACATGATTTGATATATGGGCTTGTTAGCTTTTAAATATACTTAGATCTCGCTTACCTTAAAAACAAAACAATTCTCTGTCTCAGCCTCAT